GGGATATTGGTGAAGATGACTTTGGGATCATTGAAGATATAGGAGTATTTGAGTTCGACAATCTTTCTATAGATGAATCAGAATTGGAGTTTTTTTAAAGATTATGTTATCTTTAGAAATTAGTAGTTCCAATAAAAATATGTATTAGTAGAATTTTTAGTTTTCTATAGAAAATGTATTAGAATATTGTCAAACTCAAGTCTCAAATACTCCTATATCCCAAAGTCATCTCCACCAACATCTCACATTTTACTTGTCATCTTCAAGTCTACCCCACTAAGTTGTTTTATATACTACGGAGTACGGAGTAGTAGATTGTTGTCTAATTTTTATATATTTTTCTCATTTTCACGTTTACTAGTAGATGAATTTTGTTCATGAATATATGACAATATACTAAAAAATAATTGAATTATTAGTTCAAAAAATACAAACACGACTTTGATTAGGGATGGATTCGGTTCGGGCCACCCGGCCCGTGACCCGGCCCGGTACTGTGCGGGCCCGGGACCGGCCCGGTCGGGCGGTCCGGGACCGGGTATGGACCCGAACCGATGGGAAGGGGCAGGGCGGGCTCGGTTCTGGATTATTGTGACCCGGCCCGGCCGGGTCGGGCCCGGGTCCGGGTCTATTTTTTAAAAAAAAAAAAAATTGGTTTGGGCTACTACTCCTACTAGCCGTTGGGGGTGGGGCTGGGGACAACCCAAACGGCTATATAGCCGTTGGGTGGGGTAAAGGGGGGGTCCGGGGGGGTTGGCTGGTGGGGGTGGTGGGGGGGTGGGGGGTGAAAAAACCTATAAATACTCCTAATCTTAAACATTTTTTCATATCTCTTCTCCAATTCTTCCTAAATCCTATTCTTAACTCTCTACTCTCTAATTCTCTTATTCTCCATTCTCCAATATATTATATTTATTATTTATAGTTTATATTAATTATCTACTTATATAAACTATAAATAGATATAAATAGTATTATATTACTTATATTTGTTATCTAATTATATATTACTTATATATTTATTATATCTATTAATATAGTTAGAATTATATCTAATTAATTTGAAGTCATTCTATTACTCCCATCCGAAAGACCGAAAGTCCGAAAGAGGTACGAAATTATTCTATTATTTACACTTGTTTAATTACTAGTTAATTTGCTACATTTGACTCTTTTTTAATAGTTAGATAAATAGTTAATTAGTTTTTTACAATTTTTTATTAATTGCTACATTTGACTCTAGTTTAAAAAAAATGTTGTACACAAAACTAGTTAATTCACTACTTAATTTGCTATAACTCGAATTAATAGTTAGATAAATAGTTAATTAGTTTTTTACAATTTTTTATTAATTGCTACATTTGACTCTAGTTTAAAAAATATGTTGTACACAAAACTAGTTAATTCACTACTTAATTTGCTATAACTCGAATTAATAGTTAGATAAATAGTTAATTAGTTTTTTACAATTTTTTATTAATTGCTACATTTGACTCTAGTTTAAAAAATATGTTGTACACAAAACTAGTTAATTCACTACTTAATTTGCTATAACTCGAATTAATAGTTAGATAAATAGTTAATTAGTTTTTTACAATTTTTTATTAATTGCTACATTTGACTCTAGTTTAAAAAATATGTTGTACACAAAACTAGTTAATTCACTACTTAATTTGCTATAACTCGAATTAATAGTTAGATAAATAGTTAATTAGTTTTTTACAATTTTTTATTAATTGCTACATTTGACTCTAGTTTAAAAAATATGTTGTACACAAAACTAGTTAATTCACTACTTAATTTGCTATAACTCGAATTAATAGTTAGATAAATAGTTAATTAGTTTTTTACAATTTTTTATTAATTGCTACATTTGACTCTAGTTTAAAAAATATGTTTTACACAAAACTAGTTAATTCACTACTTAATTTGCTATAACTCGAATTAATAGTTAGATAAATAGTAAATTAGTTTTTTACAATTTTTTATTAATCGCTACATTTTTTAGATGGATCGTCCTAGATATTCGGTTGATATGGGTAACCTCGAGCGCAACCGAACGAAAGAGTTTGCAAGGAAGAGATCCCGCAAAGGTAAATCACATATCGGCTCTTCATCTCAAAGTCAAGATGATTTTGATACGGGTTACGTAAGGAGGGATGGGGATGCGATGACCGACGAACAACTAGAACAAGAATTGCACCGACATAATTCCCGCTTTTTTCAAGACCAACCGAGGACCATTGACGAAGAAGAGCTCGAGGACGAGGACGGCGATGTGGAGGAAGCAATTCCGGAGAGCCACGACGACGAGGAGGAGGAGGGTGGCGGCAGCCATGACGCCGACCAAGCAGTCTCATCCCAAACAGGTACAAAAAAAAGTAAATCTGAATTAATGGCTAATAATATTTCTAAGTGGAAGGACCCGAACACCGGGAATTGGACCGCAACTTACAATTGGTGCAAGAAAAACTATAGCTTGGGGATTTCCGGCGGATACGGATCCGCCACAAGACACCTTAAGTCCAAACACCCGGTGAAGTATGCAAAATTAGGCGGCGGAACGGGGAAACAAACGCAAATATCGAGGTTTGCAAATAACCAACAAGCTTTTGGTAATTTCTCATACAATGATGCACAAAATTTGACAGGTATGGCTAACTTACTTGTTGAAGAAAATTTGCCTTATTTGTTTTCTGAAAGTCTTGCTTTTCGTGATTATGCACAAACTTGTTTAAATCCGCAATATAGAGGTTATAGTCGCAAAACGGTTAAGAAAGAAATGTCAAGGCTTTATGGTGCGGAAAAGGTAAGGTTACAAAATTATTTTGCAAACTTTGATGGACGTGTTACTGTATGTTCTGACATATGGGAGGATACTTATCATAATTTACATTATTTGGGTCTGACTGTACATTATATTGATAATGATTGGCATATGCATAAACGTGTTCTTGCTTTCTGTGAATTTAATGATCGTCACACCGCTGAACATATTTATATTTTGATTGAACGTATTTTAATTGAGTATAATTTAATTGATAAGGTGTTTGCTATTGGTTTTGATAATGCTACTAATAATACTGCTGCTATTCCTAGATTGCGTGAATTGTGTGGTTCTACTTCTTTGATGGGTAGATTTTTTCATCAACGATGTGCATGTCATGTTCTAAATTTATGTGTGCAAGATGGTCTAAAAGCGTTGGGAGCATCGTTGGAGGTAGTCAAGGGGGGGATTAGACGTATTTGGGGTAATGGACACCTTAGGAAAAAATGACATGATTATTTGATAGAAAGAGGTAAGAGATATGTGGCTTTTCCAAAAGATTTGTCTATTCGTTGGAATAGTACATATAAGTTAATTGGAGTTCTTCTTAGATATAAACAACATTTTCCTGCTTTTATGAAACAATATGATAACTATATTATAAACTCGGCTGAGATCGACACCTGTGAAAAAATTTGTAATGCTTTGATATATTTTAATAATGCAACTGAAACTTTTAATCATGTTTATAAACCTACCTCAAACCAATTTATTCGTGAAGCTGTTAATCTCGCCGGTGCTTTTTCAAATTTTGAGAATGCTGATTATGTGAGTTATTTTGCTGGTTTTATGAAGGAAAAGTTTTTAAAATATTATTCACATATTCCGCATATTTATGGTATTGTATTTGTTCTCGATCCTCGTTTTAGACTTGGTTCTTTAGAAGAATGTTTGAATTATTATTATGCTGCTTTTTTTGGTCCATTGCCAATGTATGAGGACAACCCAATTGATCCGAAAAAAGAATACAACGAGGTTAGTGATATATTTTATGCATTATTCAATGAGTTTCATGCACAATATGGCAATGCGCCCCCTCCCCCGACACAAACATCATCTAAAGGAAAATCAATTTTCAAATCTACGTTTGCCAATCTTATTAAAAAAACAAAATCAACTCCCGCTACACAACAAAGCACACTTAATGAGATTTCTTTGTATTTAACTTATGATGTTGATTTTGAAGAAGATGATGATTTTGACGTACTAAACTGGTGGAAGGGAAAAGAAAGAATGTTCCCGGTTTTAGCAAAGATGGCTAAGCAAGTGCTATCAATGCCGGTTTCAACGGTTGCCGTGGAACAAGAATTTAGTTCGGCCGGCAATGTTCTAACACAAACCAGAACGAGGTTGAGCGCTGAATCTCTTGAGATGCTTATATGCTACCACGATTGGTTGAAAGCAGCACGTAGAGCTCAAGAAATTGACATCACTCCATCCTAACACTTTATGGATGAATCTACAACAGAGAGTGGCTCTACCTATGCCGGAGATTCCGATTAAAAACAATTATAGTTCCTATTTAATTTTCAAATGTAGTTCCTATTTCATTTGAAATAAATGCACTTGAAGTTTGTTTTTTAATACTTGTATAAAACTATAAAGTATAAAATATAAATTAAAAAAAAAAATTTAACCGGCCCGGCCCGGCCCGGCGGGTGGCCCGACCCGTGACCCGGGCGGGTGGCCCGGCCCGAACCGGACCCGTCCAACCCTCGGGCCGGTCCCGGGCCCACTATTCTTGAACCGGTGGCCCGACCGGGCCTAGGACCGGCCCGGGCCCGACCCGGCCCGAATCCATCCCTAACTTTGATATAGAGTATTATTTACTGCAGTCTGAAATCTTCCAAACTTAAGACAGAAAAATCTTTTTTCCAATTAGAATATACAAATTTAATTTTTTTCGTAATGAAAAGCATATGAAAATTTTTCTGTTACACACAAAAACTTTGGGAAATATATAAAAAGTATAAAAAAATAGTGAGTAATAAATATTAGGATTATTAGCTAAATATATCAAATTCACAAAGCTATCTCATACTTTAATTTTTTTTTTAAAAAAGACTCAAACTTTAACTTTCCTCACAATTACACTATCAATGGATGAATTTAAAAAAAAAATCAAGCAGAAAATCATATTTATATTTCATATTTTTTTCACTAATAATTATCACACACTATTTTTTATTGGTGTACAAAATTAACAAAATCCTGAAACCACAAAAAAATGTATAGCACAACTGATATGATGGAACAAATTGTTACAAATCGGCAAAGCTGACAGCCTAAATGGACTGACACAAACATGATTATGAATACAAAATATGTGGAAGACTATAAACATCTATGAATGGAATACCTTTCCAAACTCAATATTGACTGAGCTGTGAGATGAAATGGCCCCATTGACCAAATCACAAATACCTAATCCGTGTGTGGTGGATCAACAATCATTTTTTATAATCAATGAACAATTAAAATGAATGGTATATAAACAGCTCCAAGTCTCCATAAACTCAAAGACCACACTTTGAGTGTGAACTCTCTTTCAGCCATTTGCTCCCCCCAAAAGCAAACAGCCAAATCCAACACTGTCGATATGCAAGAAAACCTGCAAGAAGGCAAACTAATCATAAGCAGATACACTTAAGTATCTAAGAGTGTGTTTAATGTAAGGACGTGGAATGTGATTACTATCTAGGGTGATAAAACAGTATTCCAGCCATTAATACTGTAACCATATCTATGGTGATTTTCATGGAAGATGGGATTTTCATCTGGACATAATTCATGGAACCTGTTTGTTTTGACTTAATTCGGTCTAAGACCAGATCAAACCAGGTCAGGCCAAACTTAAAGAGATCAGATCAAATCATCAAACCATGTAAGGCCCAAGACTTTTGACATTGTTCTTGGAAGTTATGCCTGAAACCAGGCATATAAGCACTGATTTCAAAACGAATACTAAGCTGGATGATTTGATCGATTTCAAGGTCTCAACTAAATGCTCAATACTTAGTACAAACAAGTAAAAGGCCACTACATGGATAAAGGCTTATTTAGTAAGATAGTATTATCCTTGATATTTGTTTATACACATCAATCGTAACTAAAATTACGCCCTCTAAACTATTGCAACTCCAGGAAGGGAATCAACTTGAATTGATGTAGTAAATGTTCAAAAAGCTTTAAGGGAGTATAATCATAATGTCATGCATAAAAAGCTGAAGACATAAATAAAATCTTCATAGTTACTCACTGTAGTTAAATAATGTGATAGGTAATGCTGAAGAAACAATCAAATCAATAAAAATAGGTAATTAAACTTATTCTACTTTATGAGTATTATTACTCGCTTCAATTTCCATCTTTAGCAATTATTCCTACTTTTTCATCTCTAAAGGCTAGAATAGCCTAACTTTTTCATCTTCTCTTTCCAACTGTGCATACATTTTCATCTTCTGTCCCTTAATCTTCTCCAAACAATTTCATGAAAACAATATATGAGCAACTAAAAGTACGGATGGAGTATATGAGTATGAGCATCGATTTACCTGTTACATTGGTAAAGCTTATGCCAAAAGTATACTAAAAAGTCTCCAACACTGAATGAAGGTGAGGAACACGTCTACGGAACAACGGTTCTAGCCTGAAAGCCGGAACACCGGTGCGCCATCTATTGCTATCATACATCTCATTCCATGCTTGTACTATCTCATCAATCTTGAAACCTGAAACACAACATATGTCTTAATTCTGATGATAAATAAAAAAAGCCTTAATTTTATCCTCCCTCCATTCCAAAATAAAAGTCTTGCTTGGCCTAGGTTGAACTTTTTAACCTTTGCTAAGGTAAAACCGTAAAACTGTTAAGAGTCATAAAACCCTACAAATACAAATGTTATTAAGTTTTTTGTTGGTTTTATTAAAATTATCATTTATAACTAGCCTCTAAGTGTTTATTTTTTGGGAAAAGTAACTGAAAAAATAATTTCTTTATATCAAAGAGGACCTTTTCTTAAGGAAGGAGGGAACAGCAATAGAGCAGACAAACGATAGGATAAATTTGTCATTGCTTTAATTACCTTCAAGTGCAGTATCATTAGAATTATGGTTCTTAATCATGACGGCTATATCCGTTTGAGAAGCGCCAGCAAGCTCAAACTTTTCAACTGCAACTTCCAAACACTCTTCCCAACTTGGCAGTCTCACCTTATACTCCATAACAGATCGCTCATACAGTAGAGTACCCCACAACAGGTAAATCTGAGACCTCATGTTTGTGGCTTGCTCTTCAGCTTCCTCCCGTGTAACGTCTTTGGGTAGCAGTCCGTCCAATCCCATTTCCCGTAACTGGGCTTTATGTTCTTCATATTTGGAAAGCCCATTAAGACGTTCTTCTTCCATCTCCTCCCACATTTGAATCCCTCTTTCCATACTATCCTCCGCCTTGTTATACAGCTCCAACACTTCGGGAGATGGCTCGGTGGGCCCGAAACCAGACCCGCTTGAAATTTCATAATACCAATGCAGTTTCGCCAACTCAAATTGTTGTTGCCCGAGTGCGAGAAGTCCTTCGTAGAAATCTGGCTTGAATATCAAGGAATCTTCATACCTTCTTCCTGCCATTTCATATTCTTTACAGGCCCACTCAAAGGCAGATCTAACATGTCCAGAGATTGAATCTTTAGAGTCATTTTCATCCTTAAAGTATACCCGCTTCCTCACCCTTGACATGTGGATGTTACCCCAATTAAACAACGCTAAAGCTGTCATCTCTTGGATCTTTGCTAAAGAAATGTCAAAAAGGGTCATCGCGTCTTCACTCGTCACTATACCCTCCATAGCTTCAGAGTATAGTTTCATTCCCATCTCATAAATGTCCAAATATGAGTCGCATTCGATCCCCACATGGTTCTTGAAATACCGTGCGAACTGGACAATCCAATCCTCGATGCAGATCAGTGCCGTGTTCTCCTCTTTCGTACTGACATTATGATGTTTAGTAATTTCATCCACAACACTCATCTCATACGCCGGTTCTTTATCGGGGCTAACTTCAGCAATGTACAGCTTTAAAGAGCCTTGATGATCCATAGCCGCTTCGGCCAATCTAAGCTCATCATTTGACGTAATGGTCACCAAGTCACCTTCTTGGTCTCTATACTTCAGAAGAGCGCCCTTTAGGTTTGGAAACCTATCCAAAACTATGTCCCTTGCCATACGCACGGTGCAATTAGCAGGTAACCGTGCCCATCTTATATCTTCCCCCAATACCAATTTCACGTTTTTTATCACCACTTTTTGTTCGTTCATGTCATTCTCCTCCTCCAATACCACCACCATTTTATCTTCCACTTTCTTTTGATCCTTGTCAGCCTTATTGACGGTCTTGCTATTACCTCTCCTCTTCTTTTTCACCTTAGTACATGCGAGGGGAGGTAATAAGCCTATCTCCTTATCTTCGTCAATGATTTGTCCCATCTCTTGCATTTTCATTTTTATGGCATTGGAGGTCTCCAACGCAACCAAATTATTAGGTTCAACAGCCAAGACGTGGCGGATGTCTCGAAGAGCTAAATCAAGCCTATTTAGAGCCTCGTAGCACTTTGCTCTCTTCAATAGAGCTTTGCTATACTTGGGGGCGACTTCAAGGGCTAAATTGCATTCGGCTATCGCTCTCGGATACTCGCCTATCCCCATTTGCATGTAGCAAGCTGCCATGTTGCAACGCAAGTAAGCAACGTCTATGTGGTTCCTCGGGAGAAGTTTGATGGCTTTCTCGTACTTCAACATTGCACCCTCATGGTCCCGCTTCTGAAACAAACGGCTCCCTTCTTCCTTCAGTTCTTGTGCCATGTTGATGAAGACGGCTGTGTCCTCATCAAAGGCCTTTGAGGTGAGCTGCTCGGAATCTTTACCTGGTTTCTTGCTCCCAACATTGCTGCTTTTCTTCCTCCCAAGAGGCTTTCCCATAGCTTCTACTCCAACAAGTTACAATTCAAAAGAGGAAAAACAGAAATAGAAGCAAAGCTTTTATTATTAAAAAAATTGAGAATTTGATCTTCAAGCCATAAGAAACCAAGGAATAATAGAACTCATTATTGATTAGGGTCGATACCAGATAGAGCTCTTAAAAGAAATCCATTAAATCTACGGAAATGAATTGGAAAGGGAAACATTCAAAACAAAGCCCGATAAATCCCAAAACCCAAACGACAAATTCATTGAAACACCCAGTACATGAAAAAATTTGAAATAAACATTGGGAAGCCTAAAGATTACCCCTTTGACAAATTCAGAGTTTCTTCATATTAAAAATCCATATAACGAAAAACAAATTCATTCAACAAACTGGAATTTCTAATTCTTATTCCCTGAAATTGTAAAAGTTAAACATGACTCCGGAAGAAATCAAGTAGAAAATATAAAATAAAATTACCTCCCGGAGCAACGTGAGAAAGTCTCTCCACTGCAACCTCTTACCAGGGTACCAGGATGAGTCAAATGATCATCAGAAAGCGGAACCAAAGGATTACAACGACGAGAGACAGATTATACAACAGCAGAGAGTGAAAGGGTATGTCCGGAAACAAAAAATATCAGTATTTCCACACACACAAAAAGCTGGAAAAAGGAAATTGCATAAAAGGTTAAAGATCTTTGAAATTTGCTTCGTGTACACGCAGGTACAAGTAGGTGAACACGCTTCTTTAGAAGTAAATTTAAGAAGCCTTTTCCTCCCTAAATTTTTAGGAAAATAATGTAAATATATGTGCCAAAATTTTTATACTCCGTATAAAAAGTTATCTTAGATCGTACTCCGTACTAAGTATGTTTTTCGTAAATGTAATTTAATGGTTCTAAGTGCATAATACTAGTATAAAATAAAAAAAACATTTATGAGGATGTAATTAAAAATAAATTGATGTGATATTATTTATTTCACAAATAAAATTTTAGAATATTAATTGCATCCTAACAAATCTTAGTGTAATTATTCCAAAAAAATTATATATTTAGTAAATTATACGTAGTACGGAGTATATGTTATGATATTGAATTATTGACCATTTATTTAATTGGTATTGGTTTGTAATGTTAGTAATTCAGTTTTAGTACAACTAGCTAATTATTTTATGTTTATGTACAAAAGATGTTTATTAAAATGATTCAAAGATTGATTCAATGTTCATATATGTCCCGAACATATATGTTTTTGGGATGTGATTGAGAATGTAGTAGCTAATTTTCTAATTTCTATTCCACTTCTAATTAGCTAATTTGTAATATCCAATCTTAATTTTGTTTATAGGTCTATTGTGTTTGTTAAAATGCCAATAAAGTATTCATCATCATCATTATCATTACCCAGTGCCGCAAAGGCTCCCACCTACGGTGGGGTAAGAAGGTCGGATGTACGCAGTCTTACTCATGTACTAAAGCACATAGTGACTGTTTCCGGATGACTCATAGTGAAAATCGCGTCAAAAATTGCATGAACTGACTGTTATTTCATAACAACGAAGCGCAGACAGTTTAATAAATCCATTTGCTTTATTCCATCATATTCCCAAGCCAAAACATAGTGAGTCTTTGGCTCCAATAAAGTATTCTTGAATAGCTAAATTGAAATGTTTTTTATTTAGACATAAGTAGCTTTAAATATAGCTCAATTGTGTTTTAGGATGTGTATTCAAGCCTAAATGGATGCACATTCAATTTTAGTAGTTGTAATTGATTTTATTTTACCTTTTAATTTAATTACTTAATAGTATTTGTTACTATTTTATTTGAATATTATGAGCTGGCGATTTTTCATTTTGAAACCTTTAGGTTCATTTCATCTCTTAGTTTCAGTTATTTGTATAATTTTAAAAAGGAAAGAGGTAAATTTTAAAATCTACTACTTTCTTGTGATGAATGGTTTAATAATGTATGTGAGCGTTTTGGAGATATAGTGTAGGGTGATGGAGTGTGGTTTTCCATCAGGGGTGGAGACAGGGGGCTGGCGGTGGCCGCGGCCCCTGCAAGAAAAAAAATGTGATGTATTTATATATGTATAAATATTTATAAGTAGTAAAAAGTATAGTGAAAATTTAAGTTTTGGCCCCTGCTATATAAATTCCTTAAGCCTCGGCCCCTGTAACCTGTCGATTCTGGCTCCGCCACGGTTTTCCATCTATCATTGAGATAACCTCAAAGATATTGTTGGATCTCATGTATGTTTGTATAAGTGTGTTGGTGAAATATATGAGTGTTTTGTTGTATCTTTTTTGGAGTGTAGAATAAAAAGTGTTGCTCTGTGCTTGTTTCAGAGAGGGTAAGAGAGGTCGGGCGAAGATGGTGTCGTTGAAGTTGCAGAAGCGGCTCGCCACAAGCGTGCTCAAGTGCGGAAGAGGAAAGATTTGGCTTGATCCCAATGGAGTCAATGAAATCTCCATGGCTAACTCCCGTCAAAACATCAGGAAGTTGGTAAAGGATGGATTTATTATCAGGAAGCCAACTAAGATCCACTCCAGGTCTCGTGCCTGTCGAATGAAGGAAGCCAAGAGAAAGGGTCGTCATTCTGGATATGGTAAACGTAAGGGTACCAGGGAGGCTAGGTTGCCTACTAAAATTCTTTGGATGAGGAGGATGAGAGTGCTTAGGCGTTTGCTTCGCAAGTACAGGGAGGCTAAGAAGATTGACAAGCATATGTACCATGATATGTACATGAAAGTCAAGGGAAATGTCTTCAAAAACAAGTGTGTGCTGATGGAAAGCATCTACAAATCAAAGGCAGAGAAAGCCAGAGAGAAGACACTATCTGATCAATTCGAGGCCAAGAGAGCCAAGAACAAGGCTAGCCGTGAGAGAAAGTTTGCAAGGCGAGAGGAACGTTTTGCTAAGGGCACAGTGGAGAAGGAAGCACCTGCTCCAGCATCAGCTCCCCAAACCCAATCAGCCCCACAGGTATCTAAAAAATCAAAGAAGTGAAGCCTTGAATGTGTCTCTGGCTAGTTGGTGGCTTTGCATTATGTTTTCTGATCCTTAATTGCCATTTTTGTTGTTTTATTATTGTTAGAATATTTGTGATTTCCAAACTTGTGAAGTTTACAACACCTTGGTACTATGTTTTTATTAGCCTTTGGATCTGCTTATGTCTTACAAGTCTATGGTAAAATAAATAAATAAATAAATAAATAAATAAAAAGTGTTGCTCTATCTCCTTTAAATCTAGATACTTTCTTTATTTCAATGTATTCTCTTTTTATCTGCGACTATGAAATACTAGTAAGAATTATTCATATTTAGTTGTGCATGTTTTCAAATAATTTATTGAGTTCATTTTAGGACCAGTTAGATTGTTTGCATGTTACTCGTAGAATTAGGGAGTTGGTTAAAACAACTCATTTGGGAGGACGCATGTAAAAAATAAAATTAGAGAAAGTAGTTTAAAAGAATTTTTTTATGAGAATATTTCTAGACAGAATAAAGTAATGTTTTTTATACTACTATTGATATATCATATAAATGGGGGATATTGACCTAAATATGAATAAACAAGTTTTGGAATTACTGTTGTGTTATTCTTCCTAAAATAAGAGTCGTTATCGACATAATTGACAAATACTGCCACTAAAGGCAGTAAATAGTGCCTATTAATGCAATTATTTGACAATAATGACTCCAAAATGGTAGTATATATAATCATGTTACTCCTATTTCGCGAGGAACAATATCGTACTCTTGTCTCACCTTATTGATGATGTGTTTTCTTTTTCCTTTTTGTAATTCATTTCAATCTCTTCCTATTGATAAAGAGTATGACATCATTGATCTCACTCGAAATATAGACTTCCTTTTCATAAAGTTCACGGCATTTAAAATATATTACCTCCATCCCAATGGACTTTGCACTCCTTAAATTAGGTGAGAAATAAGAATAGTAAAAATTGTGTGGTTGAAGTTTGTGCAGAGGAGAGAGAAATGAGTAAACCACAAAATAGTTACTTTAATGGGAAAGTGACAAAATTTTATGGGACAACCAAAAACGGAAAGATGACAAAGTCCAATAGGACGGAGGAAGTACCTAAAAATCACAAATACGACAAAATAGGCCTATGTTGTTTTAATGTTTAAATTGCCTAAACAGAGTAATGATGTGTGTTTGAAAAATGTGCCCCTACAGCATTTTTGGACTGCCCAGCCTAGGGTTGGGGGAAATACCAAAATTTCCATATCAAAAAATACTAGATTTATCGAAGATTTAGGTATACCGACATTTTATGTATGGTATGATATCGTATTGAATTACTTCGGTATGGTATCGGTATATGGTTGGAAAATGAAAGCTAAGGTATGTACCGTTATACTGAAAGTCCTATTCAAATAGGTTTTTAAAATTATAAAAATGACTTAATACACAACATGATATTAGTGACGGGTGATTTTATATCCATGTTGTTTAAATTATTTTATTTTTTGTTAGAAATCACTATTGATCTAATATTTTTATATTGTTTAGGTTATTTTAGAAGAATGTGTTATTTTTTAATATGTGACACATTCAACTGCTTAAATATACTAATAATAATTATTGTTCAATATTGAATATGACATCAATAGATTAGTATTTGTATTTTGTAGCATTTTAATAATGAATTTAATGTCGCTAGTAACACCGATTTTGTATAATTCATTAATCTATGATAATTTGTTGTAGGGTTTTTTACAAATATATTACTACGTACTAAAATAAAACTTATTTACACAAATATGACTATTAGTTACTACAATGTAGTGTTATAGTAATTTAAGTTTAAAATTTGAACATAAGTTACAATGATTTCATTATTACTCTAATCACTAATCACATTTTTGTAAACAGCCTTCATTTTAATCATAAGTATGTAATTATTTATTTGTTGTATATAGAGAAATGCATGTTGTTAAGTTTAAGTCTCGATGGATCCAAAGGCCCAACACCAACCTTTTGATATGAAGGGTGATTAACAAAAGATAGTGTTTAGGACAACTAATAGCTAATTAAATCACTCAATAGCTCCAATTGTATTAATGTAAGTATGCGTTTACAGAGAAATGGCGAGCGGAAGTTACGGTTCACTGCCTAATACAAGAGCTAGAATGAAGTATAATACTTGTGAGTAAACAAATGCTAACCCTTCTAATGGAATAAATGCTACTCCTTTTGGTCCTTTTTAAACTTTACACTTTGACTTCACAAATATTAAGGAAATAAATTTGACTTTACTGTAGAGTACGCTGTTTGGCACTGTTTGACACTGTTTTGCACTGTTTGGTGCAGATTTGTTTGCCAAACAAGGCAAATAAGAAAGTGTAAAGTTTAATATGAGATGACCCAAAAAGGAAAATGTAAAGTTAATTAAGGACTGGAGAGAGTATTATTTATACTAGATATGAGTAGGTGGAGGGATGATGTGGCCGAATATGACTGGTTGCTTTCTTGTCACTTGTGCACTCATACTCCCACTTGTAGCCTCCATACTCTAGCATTAAATGCAACCTGCCATTTGTACAACCCCTCGATCGGCTCTGGGACCCACTAAGCCATCAATTCAGAGGAGCGTTGACTATCCACAAAGTGTTGACTAAGGCCCATTCGAGATGTGCCGAACGGGTTCTTCCCCAGTTGCTCAGATCCCGTTCGGATTCTCCTCGCTCCGCTGGATTTCCATTGGGTTCTGCTCATGTTCTTGGGCCTTAGGGATATTCTGTGCCAGCATACGGGGCCGGACCCTAACATCCCAACACATGTAATTTACCGATATTGTGCCGTTACCGAATCAAAACTTCGCTACTGATATGCGGTATACCAAAATTTCGAGAAAAATGTAAGATGAGTACATCCAATTGGGAGCTTTAGAGTAAAGAGATAATGTAACTGTGAATTAGGGGTACATAAAATTGAAAAACCAGCGTTAATTTACTACAAACTTGTATTATCACGTTTAAAACGTTGACTTGGCAATAACTAGCGTTTGTATGGTAAACGGTGGAGTCCAACCCTTAGCCGTCACCCACTCCGATTATTGCCGCTCCCTATGGATAACTAGCTTCGCCCTTGTTTCCTTCTCCGTCGAGGAATCATTCTCTGTCTCCGACATGACACCCTCTGTTGTCCTCCGAACTCTTTCCTCCGCTTCCGCCACTTTCAAGACTCATCCCGCTCACCGCCGGTGCGCATCCCTTCACCATCTTCTTCCATTCACCAACCCGAAAATACTTCTCCCACTCCCGTTCTCCCTCGGTCGCCAACTCTCTCACTCCTCCCAGCTCCACTAGCAGCTCCGGCTACCGCAACCCCGCCAGAAAAAAAAAACCACCATGAAACTCCTCCACAATCTGTTCGATTCCAGCCCCCCACACGCCGACCAACAACCATTTCTTTAACCACCCATCTGCCCCTGCAAATTATCCCTCACAAGTCACAAGCTTCCTCCGGCTGGAATTGGGAAATTTTCCACCTTCACCCCAACATGTACTTCGAATAGCTCCATAAGTGATTTAAACATGTCTTAAATCACAAACATAGTTGATGTTGGGAAAATTTGCCTAATCCGTTAAAATAGTTGACATGTGGCTTTTATTAGCCTAATTTGTTAGCTAGGTAAGTGTTTTAAACATGCTGATACAAATTGGTACTAAATTAATACGGATTTTTCAATTTTATGTACTTCTAAATCTTAGTTGCACTATTTGTGTGCTCTTTTACTCCACAGCTCTCAATTTGATGTACTCATGTGATACTTCTCCCAAAATTTCTACAAGATAACGATATATAAATTTTGTATACCGAAAGTTTTGATACGACAAAAGTATTAGAGAAAATATTCAGTATATCGTACCGAATCACCCCTACCCCAACCCAGCCACCACCATCGGCCGTCAGCCATTGGCCACCACCGCCACCATTCGACCCCCGACCACCTCTGCCAGCCACCACCGCCAGCCTTCGACCTCAGGCCACTTATGCCAACCACCGCCCATCGCCCAACTTCTTTACCTGCCATTGCCGCCAAAATCCGACCAAAATTTCCAGATCAGTTTTCGTGCCAGTTTCAAGCCGGGAGACTCACCGAAGCTCCACCGCCATCACCCCCCCCCCCCCCCCCCCCCGCCGCCAAACTGCCCTGCCACTATCGTACTGCCCCGCCACAAACAGAGTGCCCCATTGCCCAAGGAAACTAGGAGGACAATTAATTAACTGGATTAGGAGTATTACGTAAGAAAATTAATGTTTAGTTCATTTGTAAAAGATTTAGATTTTAGTCCTATTTGTACAATTATGTTACCATTTAGTCCTATTTAGGATAATTAGTAATTACTAAAATATGAATGGCAAAGAAAATCTGAAAAAGCTTTTTCAGACAATAAACTCAAGAAAACTGGTAAAGAATTTAGAATTTAGGGAGAACTATCAAATAAGCCCTCGAACTTTCATAAAAAATGCAAATAAGCCCTTTTAAAGGAGGTTTTGTCCGACTGTCACCATTTGAGGTGGTTTCCGGTGGAATTTTTTGATGAATTTTTTTGAGCATCTTCTTTATTAAGTATTTAAGTCTAGTTTATCCATATCAAATCTCAGCTAAAAATTCAATCGATAAGACAGTCAAATGATTTTCTGAAATATACTATGCTGCCTAACTGCACAATTATCTTCAAAATTTCATTTGACTGTCTTCCGGATTGAATGTTTAGCTGAAATTTGATATGAGTAAACTAGACTTAATGAAGAAGATGATCAAAAAATTTCATCAAAAAATTCCACTAGAAACCGCCCCAAATGGCGATGGCCGAACACAGCCTCCTATAAAAGGGCTTATTTGCACTTTTTATGAAAGTTCGAGGGCTTATTTGATAGTTCTCTCTAGAATTTAGATGTAGGGAGAGAGAAAGAATAGCGTTTGGTAGTGAACTACTACGTACATTGCAGTTAGTCTTTTTTTTTCTTTTAAATGCTTATTTAGGAGCAGGAATATAGTAGAAACTTTGCTCTCATCCAACACATAAAAACATGGAGCGAAAATTGCTCATATTAGCAAACATATGTTTGTTTTTTCTTAGAGATGTGTTAGCTTCATTGCCTCCTAGGCTAATGCTCCTTCAGAGTTCAGACAAATCAAATTGAACAGCACATGCATTTCACATTTTCACAAAGCCAATCAAAAGTCAAAACAACTCATTCATTGATTTCATTCAATATATATTACATCACTAAGATCCACCAATGCCAAGTGCAATTGTAATACTTTGTACTTTAAATGCTGGGGTAGACTGTAGACCAAGTCTACGTAAGATTTGTTACCATTATTATTATTAATAATATTATCATCATATTATTGTTATTGCTATTAGGATAATGATGATATATACAGGATAAGGTCAAAGAATGGTTCTAAGAATGGTAAAATATTCTTAATTTTACCCATAATAAATTAGTGAGGGCAAAATTCCTGAACCACTCTCTGACCCATGCTCGTTCCTATCATTGCCCTTATTGTTATGCTAAATATAAGACCGAATATTTACATTTGTCATATGGAGAGCAGCTTGCATAACTACATGCTTTGTCCTATAGATGCCAAAAGTTACGCCTTTCCATGAAGTAAATGGTTTGTCAACCCGAGGTAAGCAGCGAGATCTTATCTCTGCAATTTCGAGTGCAATTAAAGAAGCAAAAGATCCAGTTAAGGAAGCCAGCTTCTGTAGGATGAGCAGCATCCGTTTCCCGTTTCTGGATAACCCTGAGCAACTCATCTGAGCTTAAACTTCCGTCACCATTTGTATCAAACACATGGAAAATTATATCTATCACATTGTCTGTCAGCGCCACCCCGCAAACCTGTATGATTTTAGTTATTCTCTTTCAGTCTCCTTAGTTGCCAATTCAACCGTACCAAACATATTATGAAAGTTTCATGAATTGTTCTCTTCTTACCAAATTTACCCTCTACAAACTACATACAATATGTTTAACCTTCACTTCTCATGTTACCGTGAATCCAGCCATGTTTTGGTGGCCAAGGGCATTTAGGTAAACTAAGTAGTGTGTCTAGGTTACAAATGCCCAATAAGTAATAATGTCAATTCTAGCCAAGAAAAGTCTGTAGATTCTATCCCTATAAGATGGCTCTTTCCCATTTGTTGCATATTCAATTTTGAAGGGTGTAATTAGAAAAAGGGAACTAATGATCCATGGTTTTTCTATTCGGAGGGATATAAAAGGGCTCTACCAAAGAATGCTTACTTGAGAAGCAGCTCTTTTAAAATCGGTTCTGGTCAAAAGCCCATTAACTTGCCCGTAACTGAAAAGTGCAAGTGAAAACGGAAGCAAATGTCTGCGCAACTCCGCAAAGCTCTTGAATTCCTCAAATGAGACGCGCAGATTGCACAATTGCGGGTTGTTGTCTATATGATCGACCTGTCGAAGCAATTTGCCCAAATGACTTAAATCGGCAGAGGCAACCATGGACAAGGCAAAATCCTTTGCTGATATGGCTCCTTGTGACTTAAAATCATAATGTGCAAACTCCAACCTTATCACCTGTTCAGCACATGTCATAGAAAACACCAAGGAAGGACACCATTATAAGGAGAAGAAGGAGAAATAACATAGTGGGGGGGCTCAGGTTGAAAAAAAAAAGAAAATGAAAGAAACTACAAACAAGGAACAAATACTACAATTTCATTTCATAAAGTTTAAACATGGTCTCTTCATTTAATAATCACTACCTCCATCCCAAAATAACTTCTATTTTGTACAATTGTCATTAATAATGAAAAGTACTTGTACTTTCAATTACATTTGTTGGATTAATTATCTGTTATATGCAACTTGAAAGTGACTGCTTATTTGCAAATTTTGGCAAATAACATGACTTAACTTTGTTTGAGGAGCAAAAAGAGTGTTCAAACAAAAACTTAATAATCTGTAATACTTTCATCATCATCATCATTACCAGTGCCGCAAAGGCTCCCACATATGGTGGGGTAAGGGGGTCGGATGTACACAGTCTTACCCCTATACTTAAACACAGAGAGACTGTTTCCGGATGACCCATTGTGGAAATCACGTCCAAAATTGTATTGACTGACTGATACTTCATAACAAAGAAGTGCAGACAGTTTAGTGAGCCATTTTGCTGTAATACTTTGTTGAAGGCATTTGATGAACCTTTTAATTTCAAACTACTATACTGAACCTACAGGTACAAGGCCAAATTGAATCATTCTGAGAGAATGGAATTACGATAGAAGCACATGTTTTCTTGCCGATTAAGAGAATCTGTAAATTCACATATCTAGCAAGGAAAGAGGTCAATGATATCAGTACAAAAACCAAAATTTCATTATGATTCATAGAGCCCGTTTGGTAATCCTGTTTTTCGGCTTATCAGGCTTATCAACCAACTTTTTTATCAAACACGTAACTTTTTTGATTTCGCGCGCCGGATTGTGTAATAACAAGAAAAAGTAAGGTTAGAGTTACTTTTCAGTCTGTATTGGCTGAAGTTACTGTAGAGGGTCATTTTAGCTATTTTTTCATATAATTTTTTATTTAATTTATTAATAAAAAATATTTTAAATATAATTTTTTCATAAATCAACAGAATCAGCCAATCTAGCCACTTCACCCACAAATTCATAAACTTTAGCAGAATCAACCGATTCATCCAATTTCAGTGTTACCAAACGGGCTCGTAAATTGTGAAGGGTCTTAGAGAGGAAAGCCACCTCACAAGTGTGTATGATTCTAACTCCAGAATCAACAGAGAACTCCCTCATCAACATCAGAACTTCAAATGGTTACAATTCTTATGACTTTTTACCATTTTTGGTCCCCCGACTATTGTCAGTTACACTTTTGATACCCGACTTTTAACTTTTTCTTTTTTAGTCCTCGACTATTGTGCTAGAACCACTTTTAGTCCCCGAGTTCAAAGTTTTCTACATTTAGTCCCCTGAGTATTATCAAATTGACACTTTTAGTCCTTCCACCATGATTTTGACACAATAAATGGAGAACTAAAAATGTCACTAATATAATAGTTGAAGGGCCAAAAGTGTCACTTCTATGAAAGTCGAATGATTAAATATGTAAATTTTCAAAGACAAGTACCAAAAGTGTGTCTAACAGAATAGTCGAGAACTAAAAGTGGAAAAAAATCAAAGTCGAGTACCAAAAATGTCAATGACATAATAGTCGGAGGACCAAAAGTGGCAAAAACTCCAATTCTTATTAGGGTATTCTGTTTCTTGTTCTATTTTGTTCTTCAGATCTTAATCACTTTCCAAAGAACTCCATATAATAACAATCGTCCATCCTACAAGGACAGGGCGCATTTGATTTTTTTGGTCAATGGTGTTGAACGGCGACCATTACTGACCAATAATATACTTTTATACACAATGATTTATAAGGTGATAGTTATATAAAATGTTCTTTGTTAAAAATACTCTCATCGAGTACAAAAATTCTAGTTTTCACTAAAATATTTTTGATTTAAAATATCGTGCAAAATTAAAAATATATGACTAAAAAATCAATTGTGGCTTATCTTTGGGGGGTGGGGCAAAAGGAGAATCATGAAAGAAAATAGTTCGTCACATCATTAGGACTTCTACAAAAGTGTGGCAAGTGATCTTAAGAGATAGTGCAGAGAGGACATACTTCTTCATGAAGATCTCGCAAAAACTGCACAAACTTATCATGTTGAAGCTGCAGCTTCCCATCTTCCCCAAATAAGTATTTCAATAGGCCTCCATTTTCGAAATGACCACCTAAACGTTGACCTGCTCGAAGTCCATCACTATGGTGGGCCCCTTGCCTATTGTGAGCTTGCATCAATGCCATCACATGCTTGAACTCTGCCAAATCTATCGCTCTGTGAAGAAATAACTAAAAATCAAAATATTTTGAGCCAGTGGATAAAAGCCTTTATGCATAAATAGAGAGTCGGGTACTTTTCATGATCCAAGATAGCAGAGAAGCGACAAAAGACCGCCTGACTGAGATGGAAAGACACAAATGACGGTAATATTTGAACTGCAAGAAACAGCCAAAAAACAGAGTTCCACTGACAGTATAGCAATACAAATGACACTGCGTAGCAAAACCAATATTTAATGTTGAAATTCCACATTGGTTGTGTAATTTAGTACTACCTCTGTCCCACTACTATTGGGACATGAGAAGGTGGTGTGGTTATTAAGAAAAGTAGGTTTATGTGGTTGATATTAACTGATAATGTAAGAATAAAGTAAGAATGATTTAGAACCACACAATTTAACCAAATTTAGTCTGGGACAATCTTAGTGTGGACGGATCGAAAAGAAAAGATGGGACAATCTCACCGGGGTAGGAGTATATAACTTTGAGATACATCCCAACTCTAGGGGTCCTGGTGAACTGCATTGTTCCCCTTCTGGGTTGAGTTACGGTTGTTACGCCCAATTTAACATTTCCCGTCGCTTCAAGTACATTAACCCTTTCCTACCAGATTCCTAAATCTAAAGTGCATATACATAAGCTTTACAGGTTACTTTATGCCCTCTAGTCAAGTATAAGTGACATCATGCAAACAATTATAGTATTATACAAGGTGCTACAAAAAATCTCAAAAAGAATGGTGAAGTTCTATTATGCAAAAAGTGGAAATGTATACAATTTATGAACCTATATAGCATGTTCATGCATTGCAATTTTCAATACTTGGATTAGAAACCTACCCATTACCATCATGATCGAACATCTTGAATGCCACTGAGAAGCTTGATTCGGGGATACTAAGTAGTGTTACAAAAAATATATACCTGTAACCAGATAAAACCTATCATCCTTTCAAGACAGATTCCAAACAGGAGTACGGCTAAGAATAAAAAAATATGTATTACATACTCTTTAAAAGATATCAGGCCATCACTGTTTGTATCAAAGAGCATAAAAAACTCTGAAGGGGAACAATGCAGTTCACCAGGACCCCTTTCCCCTCTTAGATATCCATCCCTCACAAGGTTAGATTCAGATGATGGGAAAACAGGAACAACCGCTCTCATCAAATCGGCTGGTGTCATAAAAGTCATTCCATCCTTGCCACGGAAGGAAGCAAAGTACGCAAAGACCTTCAATGCCACCATTAATACAAGTGAGGCACAATAGAAACCAATAAACTAAGATTCATGTGCATGGTACCTTTATAAACTAGTTACAAGTCTCCGTGCTGTTTGTATATTACAAGGCACTCTGTATTTATTAAACACATACATTGCAAATACCATGAGGATCCAGAAAAGATTAAAGAAAAAAACAATTCATAGGATGCAGAGTTTTGATTTAACATGTTTCTTGGTCTAAATTGCCCATTGCCTATAAACCTTAGCTTGTAAGAACTAGAACAGATATTTGGTCAAAGAAAATAAAAACAGATAAGCTCGGCTGAAATCTTCTGTTAAGGATATCTTGTGCACAGGAGGATCTATGTATAGGTAAGTGGGGCAAAGACCTGCCATAAAATTTCAGAAAACAATTTTAGTGTTGAGATTGATTCTTCAATCCCCCAATTTTCCTGACCTTGGAGGAATGATGCTAGGTTTTAGAGAGGCACAAAATACAAAACGTATTGGTTTCCCCCAAGTTTATCCGTAATATGAACTAAGTAATTAGCAGTTACTAGGCTCCATAATTAAAAATAAACAAACATAGGCATACTTTCATTACAATTAGCTAACGCGTTTAGATCTTGTGGGTGTGACTATGCGTCGTTGCTACATTTTCTCCCAGAATTTGACCCGCACTGACCGAGCAGACGTTTGATTAAGAGGCGCTAGTGCTCGATTTAGACAAAAAAATTAACAGCGTGACAAAACGCACTATGTTACCTTTTCAGGAGGACTACGCATCCTAATTCGCTTCTCGTAGTTGAAAAACACTTTCCTTCTAAATGCATCTGCAAAATAAAATCTTACCATTCACTTTCCATGAGCAGAACTTGACCAGAAGGCCCAGAACACGCATATGATGAGCATTGATGTTCAATGCATCTTTAAAATTGAAAGTGCATGAACTCATATAGCGAACCCGGAAGCAACTAACTGACAACATACCTCCAAAGATAAACTTAGGCCGACGATGATCGATCGAAGAAGGCGGGGCAGCAGGAACAGTAGCCGTAAAATCTGTGGCTGGTGTAGCGCAATCAGAGAAGGAAACCGACGGAGAAGATTTTGAAAACAAAACGAGAGAAAGAGCAAAGGCGGTGCTGATCCCGGAGGCCCACTTCAACAGGGATGAGGCATCGTCGGCAGTTGGATTACTATTGAGGTCTACGGAGGCACGGAACAACGGTTGCCGTGGAAGAGAGGTGGGTGGCCGGCGGAACGTGGAGCGGAGGGACGGGCGAGATCGTCGGAGGGCTGACCACCAGGCGGACATATTCTTCGTTCAGATGGGAAATGTGACGCGGAAACAGGAAGCGATTTGGATGCCTTATCAATCAATGATATAATCATAAGATTGCGAAACAAATTTGTAAATCCGCCCCGGGATAATAATTTAATACAGATAGAGTAACGATAAAACAATGACAATCTTTAACCTTTTGTAACCGTCGACGTGTTAAAACTTAAAAGAAATAAAGTTTTGAAATTGATTCTACTAAAAAGTTAGAGGTGCAAATAAGCTCTTGATTTAATTGAAAAAGTGCAAATCATTCATTTTATAGGTGTCATATATGTTTTGAGGATTTTGGAGATCCCAGACAAAAAAAAAATATCAATTCAAATCATAAAAAATCATATGAAATAAGCATATTAAAATTGCAGATATAACGTGAACGTCCAAAGGAAAAATTTATGAAAGAGAATTTCACTAGTTATCTCAACTTATTCTTTCTTTTTGTACTAATATATAATACAAAAATCATAAACAATACATTAACAAAAACAAAGAATCTATAAATAAAAATGACAAATCAAAGAAAATAAATAAATTTGTTATATCAATACCATCACATTAATTATTTCATGCATATATCATACGACGTATAATCTAATTCATACAATACCAATTTGTTTTACCAATATAGCAGTATTAACCCAATAATTTTTAAATTATACGTAGTAACTATTTGTCATACCATTCAGCATATTAAATATTTAAGTTTACACATTTACTCCTTTAGTAGACATTATTTCATTGTAATCACACTAAAACACTTGTAGTATTAAAAAGTTAAAATCCTTATTACCTTATTTAGGCATCTACACGTGACACGTTGCTGCCTGCTAGATGCGTAGAAGATAATTTTCCTATTCTAGTTTGCAATTATTAAGTAATTAGACTCGTGCGATGCACGGGAATAAAAATATACATAAATTATTTATGATATAATACATATTTAAATATTCATCTAAAATATATTTATTTTCGAACATTGAGATACATGTGTGAAAATAAAAAGAAACATATGCCGAGTTTAAGTTACGTCTGTATTTGTTATAGAAGCATTTCTTAATGGGAAGTTATGTGAAATTTTTATTTTCCCCATTTGTGCATTGTACTGATTTCACTTTTGTGGGCATAAAAGGTTGGAGCCATGTTCCTTGGCTCAAAAAAATGTTCGAAAATATTAATGATTCAACAATTTATTGGTATAGCCATCTTATACGGAATATATACATAAGACTGTTTTAACTAATAGTAATAGCTTTTATTTTGGAAGCCCCTTGGCATGTGAGGCCCAAGGCTGTTGCATGGGCTAACTCCCCCCAAAGCCTACTCTGATAGGAGGCTCTATCTGACCGTCACTATTTGGGGCGGTTCCTGGTGGAATTTTTTGATGAATTTTTTTGAGCATATTCTTCATTAAATCTAGTTTACACATACCAAATTTCAGCTAAAAATTCAAACGGGAAGGCAGTCAAATATTTTTCTGAAATATACAGTGTTGTTTAACTGCGCAGTTATCTTCAAACATGTATCTGAATGCCTTTCCGATTGCATTTTTAGCTGAAATTGGGTATGTGTAGACTAGGCTTAATGAAGAAGATGCTAAAAAAATGCATCAAAAAATTCCACCGGGCTTATTTGCTCCTTTTCCCTTGATTATATTTCTGCCTTATTTAATACTACGGAGTATAAGCAAAAGAGTTATGCTAGAGGTACAAAAACTTTTACAAAAAGTCTTACAAAAGGGGTATGTGGCATCATCATATTATTTAACACATCACATCACATTTACAACACTTTTACATCAATGGTAATTAGAATAGCCACATCACTTGTTTGTAATTTTTTTTTGTAAGTGTATTTGTACTTCTAGCATTTTTCTGAATCAGATTCAAATTTTTAGAAGCTAGTCTTTCCAACTCAAAAAATATCACCTCTAGATATAATTTGGAGGATTCATAGGTAATTTCCAACTGGTCTTACAATCTATTTCTATACTTTCACCTAGACACTCTAATATTTACTTTTGCTCCCTGAAAACGTAGAAAACAGTTTTAAGAAGTAGATCCAAGCACTCTCATAATTATATTCGATTAAAATGATAAATCATTTACACCAGAGATGGATTCACATGTAATCAACACTCAGTAGCTTTTGAGGATGTTCTCATTGAGTCGGTCTCTCCTTACTCGGAGGATGAATTTTTGGGCCATGCATCAGATGGGGGTAAAAGACTCCTATTTCAACAATGGAGGATCTTCGTGACTCTGATACAAATCAAGATATTTGTAACAAAGTTAGATTGGTGTCAAGGAAAAACCGCTTGCCCACAAAAAACTTAAACACTCAAATTAAAGTGTATAGGAAAGAGCATCAATGCTCTCATCTTATGAGGACGGGTCTCAATCATGTATGAATTCGACAACTTTGACTAAACTACAGGTTATAGGGAGGTTCTCTTCAGTTGCACTTCAAATTGATTTTTAGGTAGAATCTATATTTCTTCTTTTATTTTCCTTCTTCTCTCTTTTTTATGTTTCTTGTCTATGTTTTCATCTCCTTTGTACTTTTCTTTCTCATTCATCAATAGAACATTCCTTTTCTTGTTAAAAAATGGTTGAAATAAAAACGGCTTACATAAATATTATACGAAGTACTAGTGACTTTAATTATAGTAATTTATGTTTAATTTTGACATTTAAATAATCATTACCCTATATCCACAGTATTATTGATCATATTGTAAATTAATTTTATTTTCAATTACGTGACTTTTAATTTACATTTAGAGAAACATATAGATTTAATCTTGTTAATTTTGATTGTGCCCGATTTTGGTACCATAAATTCACTCACTTTCAACGAAAAGTGAACTTTTTGAAAAAAAGTGACTATCCGGTAGAATAATCCTTAATATTGACAAATTTACAAGGCCAAATCTGTGTGTATAATATCATGGGATTTTAAATGGACAAATATAAGACCAATACTGATCTTGGACAAAAAACAAGATAAAAAATAACTGAGTAGACTAAAATACCCTCTCTTTTCTTTTGCCTTGCGCAAATCTGCCGACAACACTTCTACCACAATCCTCCTCCCTGAGACCAACCTTCTCCAGTTCTCCCATTCCCTTTGCCTGCATCTGCCGAAGTACATCGCCGCCTCATTCTCTTTGCCACGTGTCACAAGACTTCAGACTCGATCGGTGAGGAAAGAAGGCTATAAGCGAAGAACTGGATGGACGAAGGCAGCAAATCCGAGCGGTGAACTCGAATGGCGAAGAGGGCAATGGAGGCAGCTTAATAGTCATCAAAGAAGTGTGGCAGTGGTTGCTAGGGTGATAGATTAAATCAGCAGCGATAGGGTAACGAATAGGGTTGAGAGAGTTAAACGGGCGGAAGCTAGTTAGGGTTCTGGTGCAGCAGTTTGGGGTTACAGTGTGGGGTAGGGGTTAGGGCTGGAGGCTGGTAGCAAGTGTCACGCGCCGAACCTACCCGGACACGTCAACAACCGCCGTACGGTACGAATTGTCAACCATAATCAAACATATTCATATTATACTAGGCATCATGAATATCATTCACACATAGTACATCCATAAACAAACATAATGTAAAATATTCATTCAAGCATCGAAAATAATATAACAAGTGTTCAAGCCACATTGGGCAAACTTAGGCATGCAAGCCTCTAAATAGTTTATCAGAGAATATTATCCATGAGCAATATTATCAATGTTTTGAAAACGGAAACGGAAGAAGCACGAAGCAAGTCTTCCCTCCAAGATCCTCCCGAAGCAACGGACACCGGTAGCAAGCTTTAACTTCTTCCTGAAACTGTGAGGTGACCTCTCTCGTGAAAGGAAGTTCAGTAATTTGAAGTATTTGAAAAGTACAATGAAAAATACATTGTATATTATCAATGTTTTAATTCCTAAGACCCTCACATAGGCTGATATCATAATATAAATGATAATTCATCTTTACCCGTTATTACTTAATAATAAGTTAATGGGAAAATCACATATATGGTCCCTCAGTTATCCACGAAATTAAAATCTCAGACCTATATTTCTGAGATTGTAAATGTCACCCCTCAATTGGCCAAAATGCTCTAAATGTGGTCCTTTTGAGGGGTGAAATATACAATGTGGGCGAGAGTACATTTCACCACTTAAAGAACCACATTTACAACAATTTGGACAATTGAGGGGTGACATTTACAATCTCAGAAATATAGGTCTGAGATTTTAATTTCGTGAATAATTGAGGGATCATATATGCGATTTTCCCTAAGTTAATTATTAATTTGTCGGCACGCGGGCCCCTTTAATAGTTCATTTCATTTATCATTTGTGCGATACAATCCATAGGTCTTATAAATCATACGAGACTTGTCACCGCTCTCGGAGGCCTCATCGGGTCCTCAGGTCGATGTCCAACATCCCGCCCCCGAACTTATACCCATTGTCCCGTAGGAAGTTAAGGTCCATTCGGGGTCCTACCGTAAGTGTTACCGCTATCGGAAGTCTCATAAGATCTCTGGTTCGGATTTCACCCCTACACGTGATCACGTTGCAAGCCCATGCTATCCAACCACACTCTCTAGAGTTGAGAAAGGCCATGGTCCTTACTTTTTACCATACTTCACCTGGCTATCCTCAACGACTACCGAAAACACCCGTAAGTCGATCCTATATCTAGGATCAATTCATAAATCGGTTTATCTTGCATGGCCTTTAAGGGCTACCCCTAGTATAACTCAGAGTTCATACATTTCCACATTAAAGTATCTCTTAGGACTACTTAAGACACAACTTCTCACAACCCAACCTTAGGATCAATTCTATCAGAACTCATGTTAACATCCCGACTAATATCTTAATACTAGCTGGATTAATTCTAGCACAATCAAGTTCTCAATTCATGGTCAAATAGCCAAAATATAATTAATTCTCAATACCAAAAATATCACTTTCATTTATTCATATAATATCACAAGGCTTCATAGTTAATTTAACTAGCATGTCATCATATTCACAACACATAATTATACATAATTTATTCCTAAATTTGTATATCATGCTCCT